GAAGCTGGGGGGTCAGAAGCCTGAAAGGAGAGAGAATAAATGGATGAAGCACAGTAAAAGCATACACAGATGAGGAGTGGAACTGCATCCAGGAGTGTGTTAGCATTTAGGCAGCCTAGATTACCCCTAGAGCTACTGGCCATTTGGTCACGTGCAGATGCACCTGCTCCTGCTCTAACATGGCCACGGTGGCAGCAGTTGATTTCGTTTTGCTTTGTGGTGTTGGGAAGTAACATTATTACAGACACTTTACGAATCAGATCCTAATCCTGGTGGCTAAATCTAGCCTAGTGTATGATTTCTGAATATAATGTGTATTATGTGAGTTATTGGTAAGGTCCTATGTTGTCTTAACAAACCTCTTTTCACAAGAGTTTTTGATTTAAACCACCATATTTATGAAAGGCGAGGAAAAAGATAAGAAACACAGAAGTACCCGCTTTCACTGTCGGCCCTCTGCTTGGTGAGGCTGGGTGGTAATTTTCTTGCCAATGACACATCAGAATTGGGACTTTAGGAGGGGGAGAACCAGCTCCAGAATCGTGTCCCGGGGCACCAGAAGGTGCATACCTACAAGGGGTGAAGCTGGTGCTGCCGGCCTGGCAGGCAGGAGGCAGACCCAGGCAGGGTGCAGATGCCGGCAGGGTGAGCAGCTGGAGGCACAGGGCGCTCAAGAGCTTGAATAACCAGATGCTGAACTCAGTGTGATGGAAGCTGTAGGACAGGAGGGGTGTCATGGTGCTGTTAATCACACCTTTCCCAGTCTCTGTCCCTTACAGGTGACTTTGCAGCCTCGTGCCTTCACTTCTGACTAAGAAAAACCATTTTCTCAAAAGTCTCTGGGGCTCTACAACCCCACTGCTTGGGGAGATTACTCTGGATTTACAGTTTCATTTCTCAGGAAATGCAGGGCAATAAGGTGAATTATCTGCTGCCTAAAAGGGACCTGGATTGCAGAATCACAAGGGGAAGAGATGGGGTGAGTCAAGAGATAATGCCAACATTAAAAGATAAAATGGATTAACATCTCCCTGCACGCAGAAAGCTGCATGGGTGGAGTAAGAGGTTGCAATAGCAGTTTAAAAGGGGACGAGACAGCTGGGCATCCTCGTATTTTTCTCTTAAAAATAAGGAAATCCATCCCAAAAGCTGAGCTTAGCTCATGCTATCCTCTGAAGTCCACATGAGTCAGCCAGGCTGGCTGTCCACAGTCGGGAGGTGTCAGGACAGCCTGACTAACAGACCCTGCTGGCTGACCTACATGGGGCTGTAACGCAGCTGATTTTCACCTGCACACTCCAGCAAGAGGTTGCAAGAATGATCCATGGGAAATAGCTCACAATCATAAATCTCTATTTCTATTTCAGCCTGGGATTTCAGCTTTAACGACTCTTGAGACAAATGAGGCCACACGCTGCTTGCCCAAGGCCACTGTTCCAGCGTGTCTGTGGGGTGACACAAACCGTGGTGGAGGGCTTGTTTAGGATGTGATTAAAGAGATGATTCTCCCTCCCGGTGAAGATAAGATCTGAGCATGGCTTAAGTAAATTACTGAATGGCTTGTTATAGCCCTGGCTGAGTTCCCTTGCTGCGCGAGGCCTTGTTTTTTTACATCCAATTTGCTGTGAAGCCCAGAGTGTCACAACAGCATCCCAACACCTGCATCTCTGCACTCGTCTGACACCCCTTCTCTGGAAGATGGGACCCTGGGGACCCGCTGCGGATGGCTCTGAGGCGAGGCTAAGCCCCATCAGTTTTCCTAATAGTTTCTGATGTTCATGCCTTGAAAGCTCCCCCGTCCTGACGATGCCAGTCCGTGGCTTGATCTTCAGGGACTAGCTGACTGAAAGCCAGAAGCACTTTGCTCTTGGCTGAAGGATTTTTAACAGAAGTACGCTTTATTCACAGTATGGCACAGATGAGCATACAGACCTCAGGAAGGGCAACAACCCCAAAAGCCCTCTTGTTCCCACCCCTGCTCTCTACCCCCTAAAGAGTCTTTTGGCTGTGTCCTGGAGAGGATCTCAACCCCTCTAGCTCCCTCCCTGCTCCACCACATCACAGGCTGAGCTCTGCCCTTTGGTTTGTCGTTGGTATGGGCCGCTCTTCTATGGAGTTTAACATCGCTTCTAGCACCTTGTGATCTTTCACCCCATGTCTTGGCATTTTCCCATTCCGGGAGACTGGCTGGAGGCTGGTAGCCTCCATCCTCCTGCCCCATGGAACTGTTCAATCCTTTCTTGCCATTAATAGCCCTGCTTCAGCCTCTTGGGCATCGCCCAGTTCTTGCCATAAAACAAAAGATTGAATTCCCTCTGAAGGCTGTAGCATACGCAAGGACTTGAAAGAGGAATGGGACCTGTTTGTGTGAAGCAGGCCCGAGCGGCCATCCCGCCAGCACAGAACACGCTAAAACGTGGCCTTGCAATGGTGGCCCTTTGCACTGCTCATTTTGGAGTGCGAAATCCCCGCGATGCTGCCGCAGCACCTCGTGTCCCCCAAAGAGAAGCAGAAACGTCGCGTGCTTGTAGTTAAACAGCTGCTCGGGGCGCGGGGAGGCCGCATTTGCGCTGCGGCCTGCAGTGCAAT